GGAATGTAGTAATTTCAAAAAATTCCTACGCACACATAGGATCATGGGGATGCATAGCAACGAGAGGGGAGAGTGTGTCTATGTACCCTCGTAGACCGAATGCGGAAGCGTTAGCACAACGCGGTTGATGTAGTCATACGTCTTCACGATCCGATCGATCCAAGTACCAAACGCACGGCACCTCCGAGTTCTGCACACGTTCAACTTGATGACGTCCCGCGAGCTCCGATCCAGCAAAGCTTCACAGGAGAGTTTCGTCAGCATGACAGCGTGGTGACAGTGATGATGATGCTACCGACGCAGGGCTTCACCTAAGCACCGCTACAATATGATCGAGGTGGATTATGATGGAGGGGGGCACCGCACACGGCTAAGAGATCAATGATCAATTGTTGTCTTGGGGTGCCCCCCTGCCCCCATATATAAAGGAGGGAGGGAGGAGGAGGGGCGCACCAAGGGAGTAGGATTCCTACTCCTAGTAGGAGTAGGTTTTCTCCTTTCCTAGTCAAACTAGGAGAAGGGGGAAAGGAGGAGGAGTGGAGAAGGAAGGGAGAGGGGGGCCGCGCCCCAAACCCCTTGTCCAATTTGGACTGGGCTTGGGAGGGGCGTGCGCCACCTCCTGGCTGTTGCCTCTCCTTCCCACTAACGCCCATTAAGGCCCATTGACTCCCCGGACGAATTCTCGTAACTCCCCGGTACTCCGAAAAATACCCGAATCACTCGGAACCTTTCCAATGTCCGAATATAGACTTCCAATATATCGATCTTTACGTCTCGACCATTTCAAGACTCCTCGCCATGTCCGTGATCATATTCGGGACTCCGAACTACCTTCGGTACATCAAATCACATAAACTCATAATACCGATCATCACCGAACTTTAAGCGTGCGGACCCTACGGGTTCGAGAACTATGTAGACATGACCGAGACACATCTCTGGTCAATAACCAATAGTGGAACCTGGATGCTCATATTGGCTCCCACATATTCTACGAAGATCTTTATCAGTCAAACCGCATAACAACATATGTTGTTCCCTTTGTCATCGGTATGTTACTTGCCCGAGATTCGATCATCGGTATTTCAATACCTAGTTCAATCTCGTTACCGGCAAGTCTCTTTACTCGTTTCGTAATACATCATCCCGCAACTAACGCATTAGTTACAATGCTTGCAAGGCTTATAGTGATGTGCATTACCGAGTGGGCCCAGAGATACCTCTCCGACAATCAGAGTGACAAATCCTAATCTCGAAATACGCCAACTCAACAAGTACCTTCGGGGACACCTGTAGAGCACCTTTATAATCACCCAGTTACGTTGTGACGTTTGGTAGCACACAAAGTGTTCCTCCGGTAAATGGGAGTTGCATAATCTCATAGTCATAGGAACATGTATAAGTCATGAAGAAAGCAATAGCAACATACTAAACGATCAAGTGCTAAGCTAACGGAATGGGTCAAGTCAATCACATCATTCTCTAATGATGTGATCCCGTTAATCAAATGACAACTTATGGCTATGGCTAGGAAACTTAACCATCTTTGATTCAACGAGCTAGTCAAGTAGAGGCATACTAGTGACACTCTGTTTGTCTATGTATTCACACATGTATCAAGTTTAGCATGAATAATAAACATTTATCATGATATAAGTAAATAAATAATAACTTTATTATTGCCTCTAGGGCATATTTCCTTCACTAAGGAGGTGAAGAATGAGGAAAGGTACAAGATGTTCATTGTCGTGCAAAGGGAGAAGATGGAGTTCGACCAGGAGAGGTTGATCTTGAAGAAGAACACAATGAAATTGGAGAGGCAAGAGAAGGTTGCCAAATGGGATCTTGACCAAACGGTGACAATGCATGCTCTTAAGCTCGAGAAAGAGAAGTTGCGGCTAGCAAGAGAGATGGAGGAGTCGAGAATCATGTTGCAAGACATCAACCTCTTGGATGATGATGTGAAGAAGTGCTTGCTTCGCGTGAAGAAGAGGATCACTGACATCAGAACATAACCCTGATGCACAGTCAAGCAAAATATGATACCCTTAAAAAGGAAAATATGTATACTTTATGAAAGGTCTGGTTCTGGCAATCAAACAACATACATATACTTCATGAAAGGTCTAATGCTAGGAATCAAATAACATAAGTATAGTTCATGGAAGGTGTTAGATAGTCTGTGGCATTGTTATCTACCAATAAATAAGCAATCACAACAACATGAGTTGGAGAGATGACACCGATGGTGGAGCTCGATGGTTGGGGTAATTAGAGGTAGAGCATGAGAATTGATGAGGTACGCTACTTTAAGTCCGTCGTTTTGTCAGGGGGGTTTATAATTAGAACGGATTAGACATGGGAATTTATATTCGAACTCCCACCATTTTATTAGCAAGTGAGGGGGTGGGAGTTGAAAGGGAATTGTTTTGGTGAGTTCATCATAACTTACATTATCTTCTCTTATCTAGCCCCTTTGGCTCAGATCTCCACACATAATTCCTATCAGGCGTCATATAGAGATTATGAATAAAACGACTCATCCCATATTTCCGTGAATCAAACAACTCATCCCATGTTTAATCCCATTACAACTCCTTGCTCTAAACTCACATCCCTCTTCCAATATTGCCAAACACATTGTAAGTGGTTTTGGTGTTAATGATTAGTGATGTCACTATGTGCTTGAGTCTATAAACAATGTATTGGATCATCTGAAGCCAAGCAAGCATTGTGGGAGGCCCCTATTCATAATAATGTTAAAAGAGACACATCCCAATGATTTTCGACTTGTTTCGGTCATTAGGAAAGTCATACTGTCATGCGCTTTGGAGGAAGAGGTGGAAATCTACTCACTTACACACATATATTGCATCAACAAAACTCACCCAAAGTAAGAGATAGATTTTATAAATCCCATGTTTCGTTTTCCCTCAGATACATACGTTTGAGCAACACTTAATATGGGACAGAGGTCCAGGGCCCGAAACATCTGGCCAGCCTTCGGGTTGTCCTGGAGCTTGCAAATCCCAAGTTGCAACTCTCTGAAAAGCGTAGAGCATGTATAGATGCCATCCTGGAAAGCTCCGGGGTCTAGAACAATCAGGCTACCTCTGGTCAGCCTCTGGGGTATTTAGAATCATGCAACTCCAGAGCTGTAGCATGCATAGAACCTCCGCGGCAATCCGGACTCTCCGGGATATGCAAACTATGTGCATAACGGTTGGATTTTTAGTGTCACATACCTAAGTCCACCTTCATCCCACGAGGAAGATGACGGCTTCATTCATCTCTCCTCTATTTTTTAGGAGATCTCTGTCCGTAGCTAACCAATGTTGTCCAAACTTTAGGAAGAGCTAGAGGAGATCCCGATCCACACTTTCACAAAAAGCGGAAGTTGAATCCCCTTGAATCCTTGATAGATTTTACTCATAGGTCTAAAGACGGTAACAAGCTTTACTCATCGTGCACCATGGACGAGTGCGCGCTAAAAATGACATTCATTTTCTTAGACTACCCACAATGAAAGTAACATAGGTAGTAACATCACACATATCTAGATAAAATAGATGATGTGGCAAACAATAAATGGAGAAAGAGATGCATGTGGTAACATAGCTAGTTACTAGTAGTATGAGTAACATCACACATATCAAGGCAAGACGAGTCTATAGTCTAATAAATAATGTATTACATGTTACCACACATATGTTACTCTCCAGTATAGAGTCAGTAACATAGACTAGTAACATATGCATATTACTACTCTATGTTACTATCCATTGTGGCTAGTCTTAAGGATCTGTGTGTAGTTTTTGTTTTTAAATAATGCTCCAGTAAGGATCGCTTGACTTTTAATATATGGCCGGAAGTCAACAAGAAAGAAACTTTGAACTTGGAAGTCAACAACTGGCTGCTACTAGTGGGCAGTGGCTGCCAAGCGCTAAACATGGAGGTAGGAAAAGCGACACTTTAACAGAAAATCATTTTTGTACTGCAATAATTTTAGCTACTTTATCCTATGGAGCCCTGTGCGCCAAGCCGCCAGCCAGTGGATTACAAAAATGTACAACATAGAACATACTCATTGTCCAGACCCCGGCTGCAATTTTGATTGTACAGGTCAAGAAACACCACTAGTGTGTGGCACACATCATGAAGGGCCTCTAGTAATAATTACTCCCTTTGTTCTTAAATATTTGTTTTTATAGAGATTTCAACAAGTGACTACATACGAAGCAAAATGAATGAATCTACACTCTAAAATATGTCTATATACATCCGTATGTGGTAGTTCATTTGAAATCTCTAAAAAGACAAATATTTAGTAACGGAGGGAATAACTAGCTGTATCGGCAAAAAAATTGTCCCTTGTGACATGATGCGGGAACCAGGTCCATTTTACAATCTGAAACTGCACAACTATATGGTTGATCATTCGAAAAGATTTTTGTCAGTGAGGATCGTGATTGGGAGCATGAATAGTGAACTCATTATTGACGACAGTGATGTGCCTACTTTTCTCCACGCACCTACAAACAACCCAAAATATCTAATCTGACGCCACCCCATCCGTCTAGTCATCTTCTTCATCGGTCTAGTCAGCTCGCACGGCTGCTTCTTCATTTTCGTCAGCTCGGACGGCTGCTTCTTCATTTTCGTCATCTTGCTCTCGAATGAGTTATATAAACAGCAAACTTGAGTAGCCCCTGAAAGAGCTGAGCATTTCAGGTTCAGGTATTTTGTCTCCTCCTCTTGTGTAGGTTGCTCTCAGTGCATACATACTCCCTCCGTTCCGAATTACTTGTCACGGGTATGGATGTATCTAGATGTATTTTAGTTCTAGATACATTTATTTTTATGACGAGTAATTTAGAACGGAGGGAGTAGATGCTTGGTTTGTTTTATGTTTGTTTGATTGAGTAAAATACCGTTCTTCTGGTTGTTGATCGTGTGTATTTTTATTCCAATGGAACTAGCTCCTTCATCGGTTTCTGAAGATGGCAAGTTCAGAGTCAGAGCGAACAGAGGTATCTCCTGCAACAGCACTTCTAGTTCTTTTGCTACCCCTTAATATGGTGCAAATTACTCGACTGAATGTACTTTTCAAGTGGAGCTCAATGTTCTTCTCCTCTAGGATTTTCAACTTGTGACCAATTGTATTTTTCGATGATTTTCTAATTAAGATGCCGCTGATTGTTTCAATCCGTTATAAGCCCTCCGTTCACTGATTTAGTATAACTTGTACTAAATCAGAGACACTTATTTTGAGACAGAGGAAGTATCTTATATGTCGTGAGCAAGTAAACTGGTCTGACATGGTTGTTTTTACTTCAGGCATACTTGCACGTCGACTGTGCTCAGCCACCAGCAAGAACTTGGCAGAGGAAATTCGATGATGAAGGCAAGAAGGTTGCTAAGTTTAGCATGACCATGAATGATCTCATGACAATGGTAAGTAAGCATATGAACACGGACCGTAGCTTTTGGCTTTCGCGTTTAGAGCCAAGAATGCTGACCATGATCCTGGTTGTGCTGTAGGTGCCCTTTATTGCCAAAATGCTTCGACTATACGTCCAAGAAAGCGCGAAAGGCCAAGTGAGTCACTCTTCTGTCATTTAACATTCAGCTAATCTGTCCACTAGCATGCACCTGCTGTTAAAATTGTCGGTGCAAATTATTCTGCTTAGTCAGTACTCAGTGAAATTGCTGAACAATCATTATCTTGTTTTTCTGCGAAGGCTTCGGTCTATGATCCTTTCAGGAAATGGATGGACAACTGCTACCGCGGGGTACCCCTCGGCGCACTAGGGCAAGTACTTCCGTTGTTTCTGGCCTTGATTTTACCCTGAAACTTTGCCTTGGTTGTCACATTCATGCAGCTAACTGAACTTCAGATGGCACTTGTATTCAAAGCACATTTCTCGTCTTCTTTTTTCAGTGCAGGAAGCATAGGGAGAAGCTACAGAGGGTACTTCCAGCATTTCCAAATATTCCCCAGGATGTTTGAAGAGAAGCCTATCCTGGCCAACCAGTTCTCCGTAATAAATTTACACTTGCTTTCATGACTTGCAATGCTCAATTAACCGTGGGAAAACGTCTTATGTTTCAATACTTTTACTTGTCTAGGCATTCGTTTCGCGTCCCGGCGGGAAGAGCTACTCCACGGTGCTGTCGGCACCGAAGGCCGATGTCCTGAAGTAAGCAGTGAAAGCGTAACAAGTTCACCTGCATTTCATTCATCTGATTATGCCAGCCCGAGATACCCATTACTCTGCAAATTTACAGGGGAATTGATAAAGCCGGTATCGGATCTTGGGACTGGAAACTGAGAGAGAAGAATTGCACTTACCATGGCTTGTTCCCAAGATCCTGGACTGTCTATGATGGTACAATTCTGACTGACAGTACATCAGTGCCAATTTACCTGACAGAGATATTTGTGTCGATTAGCTTTGTCTGGCAGAACCTACTAATCTATGTTCCATAACTGCAATGTAGGTGAGCCTGACCTTGAAATCAAGATCACCTGCCGTCAGATATCACCCTTCATCCCTCACAACTACAAAGAAAGCAGCTTCCCGGTTGCGGTTTTCACTTTTACGGTACATTTCCTTCTTCAGAAAACTAATCCAATCATCCCACATTAGTTGTTGTTCAGCGCTTACCTTACCTTAAAACCTTCGATGCTTGCACCAGGTACAAAATTCAGGGAGCACACCCGCAGATGTCACATTGCTCTTCACATGGGCAGTAAGTGCAAGCCAACACTCTGCTCTTCACAACTGACACAAGTACACAACATCTCTGTACTTTGCAGCAAGGATTCGGCCTTAATTTCCTTGTTCATCCGTGTAGAATTCCGTGGGTGGAAAATCGGAACTGACCGGGAATCACACCAACTCCAGGATGAAGTAACGGCCGCGACAGATTCGTCTGAGGCGATGTGTTAACAGACAGCAAATCTCTCTGACAATGAGCATGTCTTTCTTTCCTTGGTGCGTGCAGAGCGCGAGACGGCGTCCATGGCGTCCTCCTCCACCACAGGACAGCGGACGGGCACCCTCCGGTGACGTTCGCGATTGCGTCTCAGGAGACCGGCGGTGTCCGCGTCACCTGCTGCCCGTCCTTCGCGATGGGCCCGTCCGTTCCCGGCGGCGAGCAGTTCACGGCCAAGGACATGTGGGAGGAGGCCAAGAACCGCGGCGCCTTCGGCGGGGCGCCCAGAGCGTCGGCGTCGTCGAGGCCTGGATCGTCCATCGGGGCGGCGGTCGCGGCGACGACGACGGTGCCGGCGGGAGGCACGCGTGCGGTGTCGTTCGCGCTCTCGTGGTCGTGTCCCGAGGTGAAGTTCCCCGCCGGGAGAACCTACCACCGGAGGTACACCAAGTTCCTCGGCCTGGATAGGGACGCGGCCGCTGAACAATTGGCCCACGACGCCCTTCTCGGTGAGATTTCCAAGGATCATTGGCCGGTGAAGATTTCTGAAATCCCTCTTAGGATTAAGATTTCTTAAAGCATTCTTGTGTTGTGTTTGCATGTAGAACACATGAAGTGGGAGTCTCTGATCGAGGAGTGGCAGAGGCCTGTTCTGCATGACAAGAGGCTGCCTGAATGGTGAGAAATTCAGACCAAGCTCAGGGTCAATCACCAATATATTTTCTCCATTAAACCGACTAATTACTGAACTGATCACTGACTAATTTCTGTACTGACTTGTGCCATTAGATGAAAAAAAGTTGTATCGACTTGATCATGATTTGGGTTCTAGATCAGGTGGTGACACGATTCTTTTTCAGGTACCCGGTTGCGCTGTTCAACGAGCTTTACTATCTCAACGCTGGAGGCACAATTTGGACAGGCAATTAACACTGATCCAACTGAACTCTGAGGTCACATGTTTATCTTGGACAATGGCCCAAAATCTTAACTTTTCATTGTCACACAGATGGGCTGCCTCCGAAGAAGACCAGCTTTGCTTCCTCAAACTCAAAGCACGGGTCGACGACGGAGTCCTTCTCTCTAGACGGGTTCCGTCCAGGTGATCCTGCAGCGGACGGCATCCTGCGCGCAATGGCGCGGCGGAGGAGCGGCTGGAAGCATCGTCAGCGTTCGGCACGGCGCTGCTCGGCGACGGCGAGGAGAGCGTGGGGCGGTTCCTGTACCTGGAGGGGATGGAGTACCACCTGTGGAACACGTACGACGTCCACTTCTACGCCTCCTTCGCGCTGCTCTCCCTCTTCCCGGAGATCGAGCTGGGCCTCCAGCGCGACTTCGCCAGGGCCGTCCTCCACCACGACCCGCGCCCCATGCGCACCCTCGACGGCGCCACCGTCCCGCGCAAGGTCCTCGGCGCCGTGCCGCACGACGTCGGCCTGCGCGACCCCTGGTTCCAGCTCAACGCCTACATGATCCACGACCCGGCGCGCTGGAAGGACCTCAACCCCAAGTTCGTCCTCCAGGTCTACCGCGACGTCGCGGCCACCGGGGACGCCGCGTTCGCGGCCGCCGTGTGGCCCGCGGTTTACCTGGCCATGGCGTACATGCACCAGTTCGACCGCGACGGGGACGGCATGGTGGAGAACGAGGGCCGCCCCGACCAGACCTACGACTTCTGGTCCGTCTCCGGCGTCAGCGCCTACACCGGCGGCCTCTGGGTCGCGGCCCTCCAGGCGGCCGCCGCCATGGCGCGCGTCGTCGGCGACCGCGGCTCCGAGGGGTACTTCCTCGAGCGGTACGGGCGGGCGCGGCGCGTGTACGACGGCGAGCTCTGGAACGGCGCCTACTTCGACTACGATAACAGCGGCAGCACGAACAGCAAGTCCATCATGGCCGACCAGCTCGCCGGGCAGTGGTACGCGCGCGCGTGCGGGCTGGAGCCGATCATCGAGGAGGAGAAGGCACGCAGCGCGCTGGCGACGGTGCTGGACTACAACGTGATGCGGGTGCAGGGCGGCACGGTGGGCGCCGTGAACGGGATGCGGCCGGACGGCGCCGTGGACGCGTCCTCGATACAATCCAGGGAGGTGTGGCCCGGGGTCACCTACGCCGTGGCCGCCGCCATGGTCCACGAGGGCATGACGGAGGCGGCGTTCCGGACGGCGAAGGGCGCGCACGACGCCGGGTGGGACAGGGACGGGTTCGGGTACGCGTTCCAGATGCCGGAGGCGTGGACGGCCGACGGCGGCAGCGGGTACCGGTCGCTACACTACATGCGGCCCCTCTGCATCTGGGCGATGCAGTGGGCGCTGTCGCCGCCGGAGCTCCACATGGACGTCAGGGTGTTGCCGGGTTCGGTGTCCGCCGTGGCGTCGCCGGCAGAGGTGGTCCTGGCTCGGGAGAAGTTCGAGGAGGTGGCGAGCATGCTGAGGCTGCCGGAGGAAGAACAGCACAAGGGATATCTCAGAGCTCTGTACCAAATTCTCCGGCAGACGCTGCTCCCGGCATCCTGATTCTCTTACGGATCTGCTAATTTACATGCGGATGAAAACAATTCGCCTTCATCCGTTTTCTATGCCCTAAGATCTGTGCGTGGAGATTCGTGTGTGTGACCCGTTATTTGTCTCGTTTTTCTTATCGGGTCCGTGTGGTTGACCCGTTATTTTTTCCATCGCAACCCGCGTGTCTGTGTGGTTGACACTGTCGCCCTCCTCCCAGCCGAACACGCAACCCCGAACAGAGTCGAGCGAGAGAGAGATAGCCATGGCGATTTGGAGCTCCGCCTCACCGCTCGATCCTTTTTGTTGTTCTTGTGATCTGTTAGGTAGGGAGTTGGTTTTGTCGGTCAAATTTGATGATTGTATCCATCCCCCGCAGCTTTTTTCCGTGTAGATTTGTTTAGGTTGCACTGTTTCTGGGATGCGTTTGATTGTTTTGCTAAGCGCGGTAGCTGCCGTAGCTGGGATGTGTGTTAGTTCGATGTGCTGATCTATAATTGATTGGATGTTGGAGTCCGAGTTGTTCATGTGAGGCTGGCTTGCTTAGTTGTAGTACTCTGATGTATTCAGTCAATTCGAACGGATGTATTCTGTTCCCTGGCCTTTAATCCCTAGACCATTTCTCTTCACTGGTATCGTTTAGTGGGTATGTGGTTTACTCTGTAATTTCTATTTTGGATTTATAGTGCAATCCCCATTGTTTTTTAGAGTGATTTTCAGTGTAATTCATACTGGATTTTCATTGATTTTCACTGTAATCCGTATTGGATTTCCAGTGTAATTTTCTTGTGGATAGGTAGTATATTTGTAGTGTAAATCCAAAGCAATTTGTAGTGTAATCCCCGGTTATTTTACAGTGTAATTTCAGTGTATTTGCACTATATTTGCTAGTGGAATAATAGTGTATATATCCTAATTGCAGTGTATTTTTGTCAGTGGGGTTGCACTGTATTTGTTAGTGGAATTACAGTGTATTTGTCAGTGATGTACAGTGTAATTTGATAGCTGATTTACAGTGTAATTGCCATGAATTTGCACTGTATTCGCTAGTGGAATTACAGTGTAATTCACTTGAATTTTTATAGTGGAATTGCGTTTTGGATTTACTGTGTATTTGTCAGCAAATTTACAGTGTAATTCATAGCTGGTTTTATTGTGTAAATTCAGTGTAATTTACACTTTAATTGAGTAGCAGAGGAATTGTGACTGTTCTTGTGATGCACCACTAGTTTGTATGTTCTTGTGATGCATCTGATTCCAGTGTATTTTCTTGAGGATTTAGAGTATAATTATATTCGGATGTACACTGTAATCTTCATCGGAATTCCAGTGTATTTTCTTAGTGGGTGATTACAATGTATTTACAATGTAAGTCTCAGTTGGTTTCCACTGTAATTCGTATGGGATTTCTTCACTAGTGGGTTATGTAGTGAAATAAAAGAGATGTAGATTGTAAATGCTATCAATGCATTTCTTCTTTATATTTTTGTTATGTTTTATCCCTTTTGCTATTTCATCTCAGACATTTTGTCCTTTTCTTTGTGTTTGTATATATTTAGGTTATAGATTAAAGTATGGGGAGACTCATGAAGGCTTTTGATAAGGGCACTTCTGCTGCTTGTGTTCAAGATTATGATGATTCAGATGGGGATCCTTTTGTCCCCAATGATTTTGCTGAGGATGATCCTTTTCAAGATTCGGAGGTTATATTTCTAATTTGATTTTTTATTTCTTTTATTTCTTGTTTGGTAGCTTATTTGTTCCGGTTTTCTAGTTCATTCATTTGTTTCATCTGTTAACTGCAGGAACGTCAAATGGATGATCATGATTTCGAGAAAGTCTTAGGCTATGCTTTTTAGCTGCTTTTTTCTAGTCTGGCTCTGATAAAGATGGGGTATGTACCCGCTCAGGGCATGTGCTGCTATGATGAAGTGGATTTATTTCTGGTCATGTCCTCTTCCAGTTGTTTGACTGTAGTCCCTGATGGGTTGTAGTGTAATTATTTGTTGATTTTGCTCTGTAATGCCCAGTGGAATTACACTGTATGTTAATTGGTCTTACATAGTAATTCTTAGCGGGTTCACACACTAAATTACAAAGTAGTTTACACAGTAATTTTAGCACTTCCTTACTGTTGGTTAGTGTTCATTTTTGTTGGCTTGTTCAAAACTGCAATTCTTATAGTGTAATTCTAGGTAGATTTACAGTGAAATTCTAAGTGAATTTACACTGTAATTCCTACTATATTTACACTATAATTCTAGGTCGATTTTACAGTGTAAATCTAGGTATTTACACTGTAATTCCTACTGGATTTACACTGTAATTCCTACTATATTTACAATGTAATTCCAGGTCGATTTTACATTGTAAATCTAGGTAGAATTACAGTGTAATTTTAGGTAGATTTATACTATAATTCCTACTGGATTTACACTGTAATTCCTACCGTATTTTCAGTGTTTTTCTTAGTGTAGTAGATTTTACAGTGGATTCAAACTGGAGTTACAGCGGTATTTAAAGTGTAAATCTTAGTGTAATTTTAGTTGATTTTATAGTGTAATTTTAGTGGTTTTTGCCATTTTCATTTTAATTGTGTGTGGTTAGTAGATTAGAGATGGAAAAGTATTGCCTGGGTTCTTTTTCTCCTTTCTCGCTGCTTTGCCTGTGTGGGTTGAAAAGAGTTGGGGTGTGGATCCAATAACATCTTGGTGTGGGTCCGTTTAAAAGCGGTATGAACCACCTGAAGTAGCTCAGTAAAAGAGTATGATCCACTGTTATTTGTCAAGACTCTAGTTAAAGAAAGCATGTTTTTGATAACATTTTTTGTTTTCAGGATTGTTTTCTGCTACTAGAAAGCCATATGTTAAGGAAATCAACTTCATCTTCATTGAGGTACATCGCATGTCCTTTGATGTTGGATTTCATTGCATTTGGTTTGATTGTAGGCACCTGCACTCAATATTTTGAGTAAATTATCTATTAATGCAAACAAGTATTCCGTTTTGAACTGTAAATAAGTGTAGAGTAATTTTGCAGAGAAGGTCCCAGTAATTTGATCTAACAGTCACAAATTTCTCCTTTTAGTTCTGAACTGTAAATATGTAATCATTTTTATAGATTCTTTTTGTTTGTTGCTACTTGTGTGAGTGCCTTCTAGTGTGAATGTTTTTAGCCTGATTGTGTTTGTCCTTTTTCCTGTTAATTTCAATTTTTAGTGCTCATGTTAATGCATGTCAATATTCAGTGTAAGCAAGCATCCGATCATAGTAGTTTACACTTCTAAAGTTACTTAAATTTAGTCATTCAATCACAACTATTTAAGAACAGGTAGAAAGTGTCTAAAACAAGTAGATTAAAGTGTCTTAACAGTGTTTGGTTTTTCAGTTTCCAAAGGGTGTGAAAATAGTCATATTTTCTCTCAACTGGAGC